GTAGTACAGGGGGGAAATGGAGAGGGAATTCTTGCAACTCAGAATAACTTTGTAAACAGTGAAGAGCCTGTTTTACTCTTTAAAAAGATTCTAAAATTTAAGTTTTAACAAAATGTCCTGATCATTTTCTCAGTTTAACAATGACAAATAAGACAATTTGAATTTCCAGACATTTGCAATACAGAATGATACAAAGTCATGGTTTATTTAAAAGAAATATTAGAAGAGAAACTTTAGAGGAAACTCAGCAAATTATAATCAACTTATAATGTTCAGGCAATATTAGGGGATTCTTTTTGTAAGCCAAGTCTCCACTTTGAGGAATTAGTTACAATAACGAATTTTGCAACATTTGGGCATCATGGTTCAGAATAGGATTTAAACAGTTAGGGAACAAGTTATTTAGAAAGTCTTATGCAACTTTCAGGGATTAATCAGATAACCTGTTGGAGTTTTCAGATCTTGACTTTACAGAGTTCTGAAGTGAACCCCATGGGGTTCTAAAATCTGGAAGGACTGTCTTGCCCCATCTTCAGTGAAATGAGCAGCAAGGACAAGGCACATATATAAATTTTCCTAATCTCTGATAGTCCATTTTAAGTTACTTACATATAGTATAAAAGAGTTAAATTTAATCATTTTCTGTGTTGCTTGTTCCCAGTTAAAGAAAAGATAGGAACTTATTCTAGCCGCTAGAAAGAGCCTGAAATGTCCACCATTTTGCTGTTGTCTACTCTTCTAGATGCCTGACAAAAATTATATGCCAAGCAAACTCTTTTAGTAACACTGCCCTTTCCTCACCCCACTTTCATCCCTGGGTCACAAGAGCTCCAGGCTCTCAAGTCTTGTCTTCAGCAAGACGTTAGTAAATCTGCATAGAGTTTGTCTCTGCTGTTCTACCAACCTATCAGTCAAATGTCCTTACCATGTGAAATGGACTGCACTAAGTACTGTGGGTCTATAGCAAAGTGTAAGACATAGTCTTTTTCCCTCAAGGATCCTATGATCTCACTGGAGAGGCAAGAACCATATACTAAAAGATAACTGACAATATGGGGAAATGAGAAATCATTTCTTTTGGGTAACCTTTGCTGGCTCCTCCACCCCTGGCTAGGAGGCCCTTTGGTGTGTTCCTGTGGCACCTCTGTGAAGCCTGCCTTGGTGGTAAGCAAACTCTTTCATTGCTTACAAGGGTCTTTAAGCATGAGTTTTATGCAAAGACTGTCTATCCTGTTAACTGTTGAATATCTATTACCTATCCCATGATAGGTGTTTAATACTTATTTCCTTAATGTATAACTAAAATGAGTAATGCAGACAATAAGTGTGACAGGAGTACTAAGTCTGGGAAAACTAGAAAATTTCACCACGGAGAAGCTGGGACTTGAGCTAAGCCCTAAAGAATGGCAGGACATAGGAAGGGAAGGTCCTGGCAGTTGTGGGGACAGTCCATGTAGGTGGAAAGGCAAGAGTAAGGCCCAGAATTAGGAAAAGGTAAGGTGGATCCCAGGGTGAGTGAGCAGAACTTTCCCATGGGGATGCAATGATACAGAATTTTGAAGAAGTAGATTAGGCACATTCATGTCCACCTTTCTGTCCTATGTCTATATATGGGAACTTCTATTTCTAGAGTAAATGACTTTTGTGCTTAGTGTGAAGGGAACATGAATAGCAGGCAAATTTCTCCTCCCTATTTTATCATTTAATTTCTATATCCTCCGTGTGTATGTAAACACACAAATAAATTTACACATTCTAATAAATCATTACATTTATTATACAGTAGGAAGTGTTGCCAGGAAACCAGTTGTCAAGCAAAGCTATATTTTGAAGAGTGGGAGGTGTATAATTATCTTTAAATACTTTCTCTGGATAGTAATTACCCCCACCCCCACCCCAGCCCAAATCCATGTGACTCCCCTGAATGGATGTGCACAGGAACAGCACATTTAACAGCCACTACCCTATCCGACAGCCACTCCTTCAGCGAGTCAGGCAGTTCTAGACCCATGGGATAGGCCTGACTATGTGGTACCTCGTATCCAAAACTTGGGACAAGAGGAACTTAATCAAGTTCTCAGTATTAAACTGACTCCAAGTCCATTTTTATATACTGTAAAGAAATGCAAACTTGATTCTTTGGACTCTGAATCACAATTATCAGTGATTTCTGTAACATAAAATTATATCTATTTAAAATATTCTTTGAAACTACAGTGTAAGCTATTTAAGACCAGATAGAAGTTTGTCCTGAAAATTCATTTTTTAGGAAAAAATTGCACCAAATTTTTCTACAGTATTAATAACCACAATAATAGGGAAGAATCAGTGTCCTGTCCTGTCAAGATAAGACTCCTCAGTACCGAGAGCTGGCAAACTCCAGAGGACCACCAAGAACCCCTTGTCCCACTCCTTTGCCCCTCTCCTCAGCCTCCCTCATCTTCATTCTTACCCAGGGTGGTATGTCTAGGAAGATGTAAGCCTCCCTACGTGCATTTCGAAACCTTGATTTTCTGACCCCAATGCATTTCTTCTCTATATAGTGAATTACCCCCAAGTAGCATGTAAGTATCCCCTACAAAGAGATAGCACACACTAGAGATGGCATTCAAGTACCCATGATGAGGTAGGGTCAGATCAGAACACTATGTGATTAATTCTTCCTTCCCTCCCTGTTCTGCAAGCCAAAAACTAAGTTCTGTCTGCAGTTCTGAGGAAACAGTTCTCTTCTTAAATGTACTTCTCACTTTTCTAGTCTCCTAATAGATTTTAACAAAGATTTGGTAACAGGATTTTCCACAGACAGTAGGTAGAAAATACAGAGTGAAAACATAAATGAAGTCAAGCTGTCTTTTTTTTTTTTTTTAATTTTTTTTTCAACGTTTATTTATTTTTTGGGACAGAGAGAGACAGAGCATGAACGGGGGAGGGGCAGAGAGAGAGGGAGACACAGAATCGGAAACAGGCTCCAGGCTCTGAGCCATCAGCCCAGAGCCTGACGCGGGGCTCGAACTCACAGACCGTGAGATCGTGACCTGGCTGAAGTCGGACACCCAACCGACTGCGCCACCCAGGCGCCCCGAAGTCAAGCTGTCTTGAAAGTCAGTTTGGGGGTGGGTGGATGAATCCATAGTAGCAAGGATCTGCATTTCTAGAAACGTAGAATACAGATGTGAATACAGATATTCATGGACTATTGTTCCAAGATGCTTCTTTGTTCCTTCCCTGCCTACTTTATTACCCACACAGGGGCACTGCCTTCTGACTGCCTGTTGGGTCTCTCTATATACATGACCTGCAAGCACTTCAAATCTATTTCCTGAGCTGGGCGCCCCTACTTTCCCCTCATAGCAACCTCCCTGCCCAGAGCACTGCTTCTCCTTGTCTGTACCTATATTGGCTAGAGGTGCCACTCTCCAAATCACCCCAGCTAGAAGTTTTGGCTGTCTTTCCATACCTTTCTCTCTTACCTTGCACATCCAGTCAAGCTCAAAGTCCTATTGATTCTGCCTCCAAAATTGTGGAGTGTCAACTCAGTGTCCTCTTTTCCATTAATAAAGCTACTGCCTTCATCATCTCCAGCCCAGATGGTCAAAAGAATATTTCTCATACTACCTCTGATCTAGAAGCTGTTTTGTTGTTTAGTTGGTTTTCTAAAATCAAATTCCATCATTCTCTCTCTGGAAATCATTAAGGTGGCCTCTGTAAGTCTCCCTCCCAGGCACTTCTCCACGATCCCCTTCCTTCTCTCCTTTGTTGCTACTGTCAGCATTTATTAAATGTTTGGTCAATGGAACTACCAAACATAGCTATGTATTTTCTCTGTATCTAATAAGGATGAAATTTGGGAAAGCTATAAACTCCTGCACCATAGAATTTAAAAATGTGAGTGACTCCTTGGTTTAATCTAGCTTAATGGTTCTCAACCATGGTTATAGATTAGAACCCTCTGGGGAGCTTTAAAAAATAGCCAGCCCCCAGAAAATCAGATTTAATTGATTTGGAGTTGGAGCCTAGGTACTAGTGGGAGGTTATGATTGTTTTTTTAAGCTTCCCCAGGTAATTTTATGTACAGCCAGGTTTGAGAATCATTGACAGAAGTCCCTAACCAAGAGACCAAAGGAACATTTTAAGGACCATAGCTAAGCTTCCAGGGGTCCATGTGCTGTTGTATGAACTAGTATGCAGAGATGTGTGTGTATGTATGCGTGTGTGCGTGTATGCTCTTTTCTGAACAGAGGATCTAAACATTCATCAGAGTCTGAAAACATTCCATAACCCCATAAAGGCAAAGAACCTCTGATCCAGATTCAGCCCTTACACTTTACAGATGAGGCAGCATCTGGGCGAGAGACTGGGGAGAGACTGGGGAGAACCAAATCTGGCTCTGCCACTGTGTGATATTAATCAAGGTATTCAACCTCCATGGCCCTTAATTTACTCCTCCTCAAAATCAGGATAACACCTGCTTTTCAGGGTTATTTAAAGAATTAAAGAGAAGGCATGGAAAGTGCCTAATATGGTAACAGGCATAGATGAAGTTTCATTAATGGTAGACATTACTAGTCCTATTCCTACCATCACTACTAATAATTCTCCTAATACTTGCAATATAATTTTGAATAATGCTATTATTATAAAAAATATCTATTTATACCAGATGCAATATATGGTATATATATATATATATATATATATATATATATATATGGATTTTATTGATCTGTACAACAACCCTGTGAGCTTGGCCCTATTCCTGTTTTACAAATGGGAAAAATCAAAGCTTACAAGGGGCAGGGCTACACCTGAGGCCACACAAGTGACAGATCCTGGTTAACTTGACATGAAGCTTATCTGTTTGCCACCAGATTGTACTGCTCTGGTGAGGCCAAGTCCATTAAGGGAAGAAAGGAAACCACTATGGTACCTTTCATATTGGAAAAAATCTGAATTTCACAGTCACCTCCCTCCCCATCCCTCTCTCCTTGCTCCTTTTCCAGCCGCTACTGGCGTCGGTGGAATCGGTTCTGCAGAAGGAAGTGTCGTGCTGCAGTCAAGTCTAATGTCTTCTACTGGCTTGTGATCTTCCTGGTGTTCCTCAACACACTCACCATCGCCTCAGAACATTACAACCAGCCCCACTGGCTCACGGAGGTCCAAGGTGAGAGGCAGCCCCTGGCACTATCCTGCTTTACTCTTGTTAACTTAGCCCTAAATCCCAGGGAGGGAATGGTCACAGGCACAAGGTTGATGGGAAAATTGCCAGTGGCCGTGGCTCTTGGCAGGCACCATGCTGGAGATACCAAGGGCCTGACAGCTTGCAAGCCCAATAGTAAAATGTGCAACCTCATTATAAACAGATGTGGCTCACCTATGTAGGCCCACACCATCTGCCTACCCCAACAGTCACCGTTGGGTCCAGGTGACAAGGACACATGCTGCCCCCTGTTTGGCTATCTCAACCCTTGGCTGCCAACTTCCCAGAATGGATTTTCAATACAATAGCCTGCAGGTGGACCTGCCAGAACGTGTGAGGATGAGGTGAGCAAAAAGCCAAGAAAGAGGACAGTAGTGGCCTGAGCACAAGGAGCTGTCCTCAATGGGCAGTTAGTACCCTTCCCTGAACCCCTAGAAGAGGACCTCCTTAGCCAGTGCCTCAGCTCCATGCCCAGGGAGTCAGGCAGACACAGGGGCTGCATTCCAGAATGCTGGGAGGTGGACAGTCTCCCAGTGTAGAGGGCAGATGGGTGACTTGGCTCCCCCTTTTGGCTGATTGGTTTGGGCAGATTACTTACCTCTCAGAACCTCACTTCTCATCTCTGAAAAGCTGCTGGGAGGAATAAAGAAGATCAGCACACAAAGCCTTTGATGCATGGTAGATCCTCGATACATATTTACTGTGATTATTACTAGATACCCCTTTCTTGTCACTTTGGCCCCAATTGTTCTGTTCTGGCAGCAACATATGGGAGAGGTGTCCTGGCTGGGAAGGGAAGCATCTGGCTTTTTCTCCAGTGGTGATAATTACTGTTTTCTTTCTCCTCCTCCCCCCTCTCCCCACTCTCACATCTGTGTTGGGATCCTACCCCCGTCTGGAACCCACCAGACACGGCCAACAAGGCACTACTGGCCCTTTTCACTGCGGAGATGCTGCTAAAGATGTACAGCCTGGGCCTGCAGGCCTACTTTGTGTCCCTCTTCAACCGCTTTGACTGCTTCATCGTGTGTGGGGGCATTCTGGAGACCATCCTGGTGGAGACCAAGATCATGTCTCCCTTGGGCATCTCTGTGCTGAGATGTGTCCGGCTACTGCGGATATTTAAAATCACAAGGTATTTGGTTTCTCACCTTCCTTTGGACGTGGAACTCAGGTAGAAGTTCTTCCAGAAGGCAAGGGAGGCAGAAAGTCCTGGGTGGGAGAGTAGCTGCTGTTTCTTAAGAGGTCTATCCTTGGCTCATATATGATGGAGAGGAATTTTTCTTCATTTAGATGACATATCATTTATAAATACCTTTGACCACTGTTACCAGAGACAACTCAGTGGCACAAACAAATTTGGGATTTATTTAGTTACATAAAAGAAGTATAGAGGGGCACCTGGGTGGCTCAGTCGGTTAAGCATCTTACTCTTGATCTCAGCTCAGGTCATGATCTCACAGTTCATGAGATTGAGCCCTGTGTCGGGCTCTGCACTGATACTGTGGAGCCTACTTGGGATTCTCTCTCTCTCTCTCTCTCTCTCTCTCTCTCTTTCTGCCCCTTCCCTGCTCACATGTGTCTCTTTCTCGCTCTCTCTCTCAAAATAAATAAATAAACTTTTTAAAAAGTGCAGAAGTGGGCATCCCAGGTTAACTGAAGAAGACAGAGACCTCGTCCCCTCTGTCCTTTTTTTTTTTTTTTTTAATGTTTATTATTTTTGAGGTGGGGGGAGGAGCAAAGAGAAAGGAAGACACAGAATTTGAAGCAGGCTCCAGGCTCTGAGCTGTCAGTACAGAGCCCAACCTGGGGCTCAAACCCACAAATGCAAAATCATGACCTGAGCCAAAGTCAGATGCTCAACTGACTGAGCCACCCAGGCACCCCTCCCTGCTGTCCTTTGCTTTGACAGACTTAGAACCACCTTCCATTCTCTGGGTCATTAGGTGGCTTTCAGAGATTGAGCCATCATGTTTGAATCAAGGCAGGGAGAAGAGAAACAGCAAGGGACCAAAGCAGACACCCATCCTGGCTGAGTCAGCCCTTCCAGAGCTCTTTGAGAGATCTTACCAAAGGATCTGTTTTCATGGCCACCCCAACTGTTCGAGAGACTGAGCAATGTGGTCTTTTTCCTGTGCATGTGCTGTGAAAATGCAGTCCAGTTTCCTTAACTGAGTAAGGATGATGGCTATCATGGCACAGATGGCTTTCACCCCTCCTTCCTCACATTCACCCCCTCTCCGTCTGCCTGTCCATCCACCCACCCGAAGACTACAGTCTCCCCAGCTCTCGGGGTCAAGCAGTGATTCTCATGAAGAGGAGGCATGGGCGGGGGCATGGGGCCAGGCAGCATGCTCTAGGACAGTCATTTCGACTGTGCTGTGACCTATTTGAGTGGTGAAATCAATTGATTGAATCACAACCATCATTTTTAAGCAGCTTTATTGACATATAATTTACATACTATAATTCATGCCTCTAAAGTGTACAGTTCAGTGTTTTTCTGTACATTCACAGAACTTTGCAACCATCACCACAATTTAGTTTTAGAACATTTTTATCACCCAGAAAGAAACCCATACCTACTCCTCATTCTCCCCACATTCCTCCCAGCAGCAACCAATAAAATTTACTTTCTATTTCTGTAGATTTCCCTATTCTTGACAATTTCTATAAGTGACATCATGCAGTCTGTGGTGTTTTGCGACTGGGCTTCTTTCACTTATGTAATGATTTCAAGATTCACCCATGTTGTACCATGTGTCAGTACTTTATTCCTCTTTATGGCTGAATAATATTCCATTCTGTGGATACGCATTGTGTTTGTATGTTCATTCATCAGTTGATGGATATTTGGTTTATCTTTACCTTTTGGCTACTATGAATAATGCTGCTATGAATATTCATGTGTAAGTTTTTGTATGGATTTTCAGTTTCATTTCTCTTAGATATATACCTAGGACTAGAATTTTTAGGTCATCTGATAACTGCACATTTAAGATTTTGAGAAACTGCCAAACTGTTTCCAAAGAGACTGCACCATTTTGCATTCCCACTGGTGATGTATATGGGTTCCAATTTCTTCACATTCTCATTTTCAGTGAAAGATTTAAATAGAATAGGAAACTCTCAGAAGGCCTCACATGAACATAAGCATTGTTTCTTAAAAATCTTTGAGATATATGTCTGAGTTGCAGTAGGTTGTGGTCAACCTTGAAGGGACATATCAGAAACATGTGAAAGGGAGGAGGCTCAAACTCTGACAAACCTCCTCTTTGTAAGAGTCTCTGCTTTGGGATCCCAACTGATAATAGGGCCACTGAAACCATCAGTTGTATTGTATTGGGAAAAGAGGGAGTGGGCTCAGTATCTTTCATTCAGGGATTTGAAGGTAACCATACCTGCTTGATGTGTTCTGAACATGGCTGTATGAGTAGTCAGGGCTTGCAACACTGCCCTCAGTTTGTTGTTCTCTTTATGGCTCTCTCAGCAGCCGCCAGCACACATTCCTGGGGTGCTGTCGAAGGTCAGATGAGAGAAGGCATTTAAACAGTGCCAGGCCCAGGGACACTCAGCAGCCAGAAGACTTATTATTAACCTGTTTATTATCTTTGTTGTTATTTGGAGGACAGAGAGGTGGGGCCCTGAGAGCCACCTACACATATACAGTCTCTTACTTCTGTTTCTCTCCCATGTTCCTACTATGCATCAAGCTCTGAGAGATAAGGGAAGAGAGGTATGGTATGACCTGAACCCAGGAGAAGTTTAAAGTCTGGCTAGGGAGATGGAGTTTGTGCATATGAAACCATTGAAAGAAAATCTAAGACAGAATAAAATGAGCTGGCAAATGTTGGGACAAGGATGGGAATATGTGCTATTAGAAGTTGGGAAAAGGAGAAAGTCCCTGGGGAATGTTTAATGTCACAGGATGGACTTCAAGGACATGCAGAATTTAAACCCACAAGTTTAATGTTCCTGAGCAAACACCTCCCTTCCCCTCACCCCAGAAAAAACTCTTTCTGTATGCCCTGAATATCTTGACATTACAGAAAACCCTTGGCTTGTTACTAAAAGTAGTAGAAATGGGGCACCTGGGTGGCGCAGTCGGTTAAGCGTCCGACTTCAGCCAGGTCACGATCTTGGGGTCCCGCGTCAGGCTCTGGGCTGATGGCTCAGAGCCTGGAGCCTGTTTCCGATTCTCTGTCTCCCTCTCTCTCTGACCCTCCCCCGTTCATGCTCTGTCTCTCCCTGTCCCAAAAATAAATAAACGTTGAAAAAAAAAATAAAAGTAGTAGAAATATAATAACAATTATTGTTAATATGCATCAGTACTTACTCTGTGCACCTAGTGTGGTCTGCCTTTTTTCACTTGACTCATCCTCACAATTAACTGTAAGAGAGGGTCAGAGGAGTGTACTATTATCATGATTCCCATTTTACAGATGAGGAAACTGTGGTTTAAAGATTTAAGTCACTTACCCAAGCCACACAAACTGCTCAGGGATGAATCTGGGATTAAGTAGCAGATCTGTGTCTGACCTCAGGTTCTGTGCTCCTAACCATGACCATGAACTGTGAAGTTGACTGCTGAACTGTCTTGTCTTTATCCCAGAGGTTTGCCTTAAAGGATTTTTACATATGGATTCTTGTTGTTGGATATTTGCTGATTCTACCTGTTCCTCCTTGGGTCTGGTAAAAAGCTATTTTTCACTTGGAGTTTTCAGTGCCTCCTAAATAGTTCTCAAAAGTCTATGTGTTTGGGGGTTTGTTTTTGCTTTTGTTTTTTAGATTTCTATAGAAAAGAATTCTTGTTCCTAGATATTGTCATAGAGTCTTGAAGAGATTTGACATTCATTCTATTTCTAATCAATAATTTATCTACTTCTAAGCTGAAACTATTGCCAAGAAGCCATTTTTAAAAATCTGTCTTTGTCAGAGAGCTTCCCATAGTCCCTCCAAAAGAAAGATTAGTGGTATTTCAGATCTCTGTAAAGTCTATAAACAGAATAATTTCATTATCTAATTGGAAGTTACTTTGGCAAAGGCCATCATCTTCCTGTTTTGCAAGCCTCCAACCCCTCGGGTGCTTTTGGAAAACAACATAGAGACTATAACTATGTGGGGAATCCCATGCCCCTTCTGAACCTTGTCTCCAGTATACTCCAGTGACCAAGAAAATGCCTAAAATATGGTCTGGGAGTGGACATCTGGTCTCTAGAGATGGGTCATCTTGAGATGGTCCTGTCATCAAGCAAGCATATTTCTCTATCTTCTTTTAAAACCTCTTAGAGAAAATTTTGTAGTATCTCAGTATTATTAGTATGTTAAAAAAGCATTTTTTCACAGTGCATTCTGACCCAGTGATTGTGATTCTCAGACACAGTTAAACTCAATAAGAGCTCATGAAGGACCCACACCTCTAGAGATTTCGACCAGCAACTTCTAGAGAGTTCCATACTGGTAATCCAGTGACCTCACTTTGAGAAACGCTGGTCTAATTTCCTGCTGCTGTCCTTTGTCCACTTCCCTGTCTTAAAATATGGACCTTCATATGCAATTGGAAACCTTAATTCTTTCATCTGCTTTCCCTTCTCTATACTGTAGCCCCTAATCATGTTAAGATTGTACTTTGATAGTTCCTGACTGGGAAAACATATAATGATAAAGAGCTACTATGAATTCAGCAAAGTCTTTAAATTATTTTAATTTTATTAATTCCTATACACTTGTATACATTTGAAAAGTGGTAATGTACACACAAGATGACTGTCTATTTATCTAGAGTGCTGTAATGTTTGGTGTATCCATGGATTTGTGGACGCCTTCCTAAAATTCCAAGCTTCCCTTACCTCACCCAAGACCTGCACTCTGAGTTTGGAATACTGACCTAGACTAAGAACCCTCAACCATGATGTCAAGACACAATGGTATGTCCAGAGCAGTTGAACAGTGCATAGCAATAATTTGTTATTATAGGAGATGAAATACCAAAGTTTATGAACAGTTAGTTTTCTAAAAAGTAAATGCAAATAAATTCAAGATTGTTCCTGTAACACCCTCACTGTTGGTCATTTGCATTCCCAAATGCTTTTATGAATGGGCAAGAATGGGCTAGAGTTACCACTCTTCATGTTA